GCTATTCTCATCTCGACTAAAGTGGACTGAAGTTTTGATCTCACTTCAAATATTCTCATAAGTAGTATGAGATGTATTCACCCAATTTCGTTTAAGGTGATAAAGGATTGGTAGAAGAAGAATTTTCCCACAATGACACGAGTAGAGCTGACGTTTTGTATTCAATTTCACACAGCTTTGCTTTACAAAAGTTGTTCTCATTTCGGCTTGATTGGACTGCAGTTTCGACCTCGCATCGGTCTTGTCAACAACCTCAGCGGGAGTCGAACCACGACAGTGCAGGATGGCAGCTTGACACGCTAACCACTCGGCTACACTGCTACGAGCGCCTTTTGGATCACAGGGCAAATGTGAATTTCAAGGAATGCCAGGCCTTTTGTCATATCATATTCTTTTTGGTGGAAATGTCGATGAAGCAAACGTATATATGCTATAACACTCGACTACTATACAATACTTAATTCGAATAACTATAGTGTTTGTTAGCATGAGACTTGTACAAAAATGTGTTTTAGCTCTGATGATGTTCATCAAATGATGGACAAAAGTTCAGCCCATCTTTATCCAAAATATTGGAGGATGTGTCGTGGATTGCATAAACCTGAACGTATTATTACATTTATACGGATGCTGTACTACGCCAATGAGTCATCGTCTTCCGGTGAGAAAGACTTTGGAATGTCTGCTTCATGCACTTGCATATGAAATAAAAGTCCTCCTAACAAGGCTCTCCCAGAAGATTCATTGAAACCAAGTTGCTTTTCATGTCTACTGTGGTACCGACTCAGCTCTGGCGCAAGGCGACGGCGAAGAGGAGCACTCATAGTCGTCTACCTTCAATCAATATGTTGCTTTTGGGCTATAAAAAATGCCTATTTTGGTATCTCTACAAAAAGGCGTATCTATTCGTGGGCTTGTCTAAAATGTTGTCTATTCATGACAACAAGGGCAACCCGAGTGTCAAATGTCACCGGAGCAGCAAGTTGAGGCTGTGTCTGGCACTGGCAGGTGAACTTGTCCAACAATCACATGTTTGTCTGCTGGTGAAATAGAATATTTCGTCTGGTGGTTGGCTGCTTTTGACGGGGCGACACTTTTCAACGTGTCATCTTCGTCGAGTCTTGGGGGAAAAGAGCTTTCTGTATGTGTTCCGTGTGCCTGTACACAAACCGGCAACATAGCGAACGGATTAGGAGCCAAAAGGTGGGCAAGTCGGTTGGGCGGTGCATTTTAACTCTGTCGACTGAGCTACCGTCAGAGTTGCTGGCGGCTTGTGCCACATACGCAAAAGTGTGCCTGACGGTGCCGGACAAATCGCATGAAACAGGATCCTGCAGGAGAATAGAAAGGAAGTACCAGACCAGAGTGTGATTTTACTGCAGCACATTTCGGTATTTTGAGATCCGCCGAAATTGGCAGGCAAGCCAAATTCACTGATTAAGCTGCGTCAAAGCTGAGTTGGGCGCATGTGGTAGACCTAAAGTTGAGCAGGTGTGTAGTGGTGAAAATGACTTGTCGGGTCCCATGAGACTCGACCGAAAATCTCAAAGGACAAGTTGTTTGGAAGGGATTCGTCAACCAAACACTGACATCCATGACTGCTTAGCGGAATGTTACTATGTCATTGTTTAGTTCATTTAGATTTCACGTGAAAGTGTGTGTGATAAAGACTTTCGAAGATGGAGCCTCCCAGAAGACGACGGCGAAGTTCTCTCGCCAAGAGGTCAGTTGGCTGTACTGGAACATTTCTATTGTCGGTGTCTGAGTATGATAACATTTTTACCAACATCTTCAACAAATATGCACCAAGAGATTCTTCAAAACCCAACTTTTATTTTCATATATTCGTATTCCGTCACAATGTTCACGACCCAGTTTCAAATACTGTTGGAAGTATTGATGAAACAATGGACCGTGGTAGAAACTGCAATCGAGTTGGAATGCGAATCTTAAAATGAAATGCTATTGTACCATGAAGATAACTAGCATAATTATGTCGAAAGAAAATCCACTCTGGGACCTTTGGACAATTAAGGCGATGACGTTCTTATTCATCAATTACTGATATTTCCGAGATTACCCACACTTATTTGCATACTATTAGGGAATATGTTCTAACCTATCCGTAATCCTTAAATAAGAGCCTTGTCAACCTAGGTTGCACAAAATGATGGAGGATTAAGGGTTATATTTTCTCATAATTACGAGTCCAAGCCTCAAGATGTCATTTCCACTTACCTTGTATTTTCATCGTTGTATAAAGTGGACTGCAGTTATGGCCTCGCCTAGGTCTAATCAACAATCTTAACGGGATTAGAACCATGACCCTATAGCTTGTAATATCAAAACAATAACCATTACACCACATTGCCACGAATTTAATTGGGTCAGGGGTCAGATGTGAATTGCAACGAAGGCCAGACGTTTTTCCATATCACATTCTGTTTTGGAATTGTCGATGAAACAATGTTGTATTTATCATTGCGACAAACTACATTATTAATTATTTGTTTGTTAAGCAAGTTATAAAGACTTCCAGTAGATAATAAATATGATCTTCTTGAAAACCTGCTCATAAAACAGTCCTTTGATTTAAGACCGTTATTGAATAAAGACGTTAACAAACACACGCGCAAACACCAACACGGACAAACTCAAATAGAATTACCATAGTTAGGGATCTTCATTTCGGATAAAATTGCATGAAGAAACGATTCGTTGGTCGATCTCACAAGATGAGGGCGAATAGATCTCGTTGTACTTCAGCCGTTTGGCTTTTATACGATAGTCATGTTGACGCATTCCACGAGACTTTCTTCCTCATTTCGGGTGAAAAGGTGCTGAGATTTCATCCATCATCAGAGCTGGGTGTCATTCTTGTAAATATCTTACATTAACACTAAAACAAAAGCACTATCCGGCTCTTTCTTACTTCTTATATAGACTTAATCGAATCAAAAAATTAAAAATTAAAA